AAGTCTTGTTAGTAATGTCCTACTGTTTATGTGATTATCTATGTTACTTTTCAGCCACTTCTGAGCAGTAATTGTATCTGGGGCATGGATTGACCTTCACATTGTTGACCTTTTTTTGCTGCTTTAGATTTCTTGTTAGTGGTGTGCTTCCCTGAGAGATCTGCACTTTTCCCCTTTACATGCAACTTTTTTTGCCATGAAAGTCCCCAAGCACCTTGGATCAGATGTTGCAAGGGGCCCCATCATCACTTCCATGCAGTCAGATGAGGGATTCTGTCTACTTTTATTTCAGTGGTCCTGCCTTTGAACAAAGTGAGCAGGCCTCATGTCCTTCAATCACAACTCATTTTCTTCTCCCATTTTGCGTTTATTTTCCTTTCAGCATTGACGCATTTCGACCCTGTATGTTTGAAAGGACATCAACCTTCGGGACACAGGCACCTGGACGTAGGTTGGAACCTGGATCATTGTGACAACTGGACGCGCTGTGCCGCTGCTCCACGGTTTCAGCCCAGAAGCAAGGAACCCCGCCGGACGGACGTTCATTGACCCTAATACGTATTTACACCCCGCCGCGGACCACAATTACCGTCACCGGACGGAACGTCAGGGGAGAGGCAATGACTCTATATCGGTTGGTTGTCCTCGGAGACGGAGGCGTGGGAAAGACAGGTAAGAGGAAAGGCCCCTTCATTGTTGCTACTCTCCTGTGCGTCGTGGGATCTGATCTCCGTTTTCTAAGCATTGACTATACAGGTGAGGACTTCATGTTATAGCCACGGGTGTAAACCTGGCCCCACTGGACATGTACCAACTGAACTTGTCACTCATAGTTGTGCTTGAACCATTTTGTTGGTAAGTGGAAGGTTTAACGCTCTGTTAGGGCATGCAAGTCCAAACTTCAAAAGAATGCGCTCCGTCTGACTGCTTTACGGCTCCATTGCTGCTCACTTTATATCCACAGAGGTGAGGTTTGCAGCTGTAACCCTCTTTGGAACAAGCTTTTGAATTGAACATCAGCCCGTCGCAGACATATGATCCAACGATAGAAGATTCATATCGGAAGCAGGTCGTCATCGATGAATTGCCTTGTATACTGGAGGTCCTAGATACAGCGGGACAGGAGGAATATACAGCGTAAGTTTGAATGGTCTCTTTAAGCTCGTGCGAAATGGGTTCTGGGCGTTGATGAACACTCTCGAATTGTTCCCAAACCAGGTTACGGGACCAGTGGATACGGGACGGGGAGGGATTTTTGCTTGTATATTCTATAACGTCCCGAAGCACCTTCGAACGTGTGGAGAGATTTAAGCAGCAAATCACGCGGGTAAAAGATATGGATAAGGTGTGCGCTAGTGCTTCGGTCTGTTGACAATGCGCCATTATGCTAACTGGGTCTGCCACCCAGGTACCTTTAATGCTGGTGGGAAATAAGTGCGACAAGTTAGCAGAGCGTGAAGTTTCCAAAGAGGAAGGACAGCAGATGGCGAGACGATTGAAATGTGATTTTATCGAGACCAGTGCAAAAACCTGCTTGAATGTTGACAAGTACGTAGTTTTTGGATATCGCCCGTGGTCGAAGTGACGGCGGATCTTCGTTTCTTACTCACTGTACACATTGGTTTCTTTCCGGCATCTATGTGACAAAAGAGCTTTTTATAATGTCGTTCGAATGATACGACAACAGAAAGATGGTGGTCTAAGTACAAGCGAGCAGAAGAAAAAGAAGATATGCACAATCCTATGAGGTTGCGATTGTCTCTGCACACGTGGTTCTCCGGGGCGATGTTTTTTTTATATAGTTGCGCACTACCAACAAACCTTGATTCATTTTTTCGTATCTAGACGGCGGGTGGTTTGGTGGGGAAGGGGAAGACACCATCCGAAAGTTAGAGATTGTAGTTATTTTTCACGTTTTCTTGCAAATCAATGTGTTCATCCATCCACCTAAGAGGCTTAGCACGGACGCAATGCAAGGCGCACTTCCACCTGAACGGCTTCAGCGCCCTCCAACTGATCACGTCAGTCACAATATCCTGTAGCGTACAATGGCCTCGGTGGGCGGGCAAAACACCCCCAGTCTGGGTGTCCCTATTGACAGGGCAGAATCACCCTCAGATACTATACGCACTGTTAGAAATCAAGATTCTAAGACGAGACTGGCCACGGTTTCTGACACCACAACCAACAAGCGACGCAAGTGGAACTGGACGAAATTCTTTACCGGAAAGGATAGAGGCATTTTTTTCGTCGGACTAGTGTTGATCACCTTGCCCTGCGTTTTATTTTCCGTCTTTGTGTATGTATGCATTTTTGCTCAGCGATACTACGGGAAAGGCTGTTACGTGCTTGCTCTGCTACGAACAGCGTAAACAGCCTGCTCTTAGCCCGAAATTGAATATCTAACAATGCCTTTCTTGCTGTCATATCAGAATCCCGCAGTTCAGTCAGGGCTCTGCAGCGGTGATCGCAGTGTTTGTATGGATTTGGGCAGTTACGAAGGCTTCAATGTTTCGCACCAGCTTCAGTGATCCTGGAGTAAGCTCAACTATGTGGACGGGCTATTGATGTTCAATGCTTATACAATGGATGTACAGTATCTCCCCAAGAACTTAGAGCCTGAGCCTCAAGTTACCGCCGATTCAACAGGTGCCTTTGAGCCCCACCCACCCGCACCGTCCCATACATATCAACCCACAAATATCGGGCAGTCCAGCGTCTCTTACCCCCCCGGTTCGTTACCTCAGCCACAAACTTCCTCAACATCACTTCCCCGGAGTTATCCTTTCATTACACCGAGTAACGCTGCACAGCGTACGGCAATATATTCACCAGAACCTCGTATAGTGCAGATTGGCCACACCTCGATGACGTTAAAATACTGCACAACCTGCCACGTTTGGCGGCCAGCTCGAGCTAGTCATTGCAGTTCATGCGATCGTTGCGTGAATAATCACGACCACCGTAAGTACATGGAAATTCAATGTCGCTCTTCACGGACTAGTTGAGGATTCATTTTTCCATTTAGACTGCCCGTGGATGGCCAACTGTGTGGGAAAGAGGAATTATCGCTACTTCTATTCGTTTCTATGCAGTTGTTCTGCCCTGGCACTATATATTTTTGCGTTTAGTCTTGCCGGGCTACTTAAAACTTCTCGAGATGGAACAAGGAGTGACAACAGCGAAGAAGGTGGTTTCTTGTGGGCGATACGTCGCGAACCGGTGAATCTGGTGCTCATGGTGTATTGCTTTCTCATTGGGTGGTCGGTAGTTGGAATGTCGTGTTATCATACGTTCATAAGTTGTAACGGAGTTACCACACATGAGCAACTTAAGCAGCATGTACACGAGCAAACAATGCTGCACGGGAGATCATCACGTGGGAATGAGGAGCCGAGCCTGTATCCTTTCTCGCGGGGTAGCGGTTGGAAGAATTGGAGCTGGCTCTTATGCCGGACGGCAGAACCAAGGTATCGCCGTTAGCTCATGTGAAGAAGTTCCACCGATGGCTCATCCTTCCTTGTAAAGTTATGATGCCATGGATCTGGAGTCGAGTCAAGTCCATCGTCTATCGATACATCCTGAGCCAGTAACATCATCCGACACCCACGCACATACCTAGTTTTATATTTTAAGTACTGCAGCGCTGATTGGACGGAAAACCATGGCCACAGACGAGAGCTACATAATGCGTTATCAACAATGCAGAAAGAGTTGTAAAGTACTAGGGTAAAAACCTCCCTCTTAGGCCAAGTTGCTTCATGTCCACAGTCTGAAGAGGGAAGGTTGTCGTACATGGTGTGATGCACCCAGAATTGTCAGAACAATGAATAGTATGCGGTACATAAATGTCTGGATAAACAAAGATACGTGAACATCCTATCAACTACCGGCCACCTTGCAAGAGATCCTTTTGAGTCATGTAGGCCCTTAGCCTGATACTTTGGATTTTGATAAACCCTTCAGAGTCTGACGGATTAAATCCACCTGCTTCATCCATGGAGGCAATTTTCTCGTCATACAGGGAATTTGGTGACGAGCGCCCTTCGACAATTACATTGCCCTTGTAAAGTTTGACTGCACCGAATTCTAGTCAGTTCTGCATCTATCAAAAAGAACAGACCTAGAGAGAGTACATACGTTTGACAACACCGTTGACGGCCTTCTGTGAGTACTCCACGCTCGACATAATGAACTCACGTTCCGGTGAGTACCAAAGCCCGTTGTAAATAATCTCAGAGAGGCGCTGAGCGTATTGATCCTTCAACCGGCGGACTTCGCGATCCAATGTTAACCCTTCCAAGTCGACATGCGCTGCACGTAGAATTGTGCCGCCAGGCGTTTCGTAGCACCTGGTGAACGCCAACTCAGCTGCTTCAAAAAACTGGTCTATCGTTCATGCAAAGTATAATTCAAGTCTCACCCTCGCGACTTAATTCCGATGAACCTGTTCTCTACAATGTCAATGCGGCCAATTCCGTGTTTCCGGCCCAGTTGGTTGAGGTATAGGAACAGTTCAAGGGGGTCCGTGTAAACTACAGATACAAATTAATACTAATGCGTGGAATGTTTCCATTATATAGATTCACTCACTCACCGGTGCCTTTATCGGTTGCGTTCTCAACCTTCACCGGTTTGCCATTTTCAAAATGAACAGCCTTGGGCGTGTTAACATGCAAAGCATACGTAGAGTTGCGTAGTGATTAATCAACTCACAATGCGCTCAGGAGTATTTGGTGCGTCTTCCGGATCGACAGTCAATTTCCACATGTCCGTCGGTGGTGTCACATTGGGATCTTCCAAGATGCCCGCCTCAAAGGAGATATGATAGAGGTTTTCATCGGTTGACCATGGCTTAGCTGCAGTCTGAAAGACCGGGATACCCTTTTCGGCAGCATACTCGAGAAGGGCTGGTCGACCAGGAAATCGCTCATAGAAGGCTAAACAACACATCAATTACAGTAAGACGGGAGTCAAAATATCGAAATCTGCAACTAAGCTTACTCACCGGGGTCCCTCCAAGGAGCAATGACTTTTATGGTGGGTTTCAGTGCATAGTAGCCAAGCTCGAAGCGAACTTGGTCATTGCCCTTGCCGGTGCAACCGTGAGACACATAGTCGCATCCTTCACGAACAGCTATCTCGATCTAACAGTGGGCGGGATCTTTTAGTACATATGAAGTCGCCTAAATAGAAGATCTGCTAACCTGCTTTCTGCAGATCACAGGCCTCGCAAGAGAGGTGCCAAGGAGGTACACGCCCTAAAAAAACATGATGCGGGCCCGTTCACAAAACGCTGTCGTTTCACTAAAGAGACAATACTACTCACCTCATACAGACAGTTAGCTTGAATTGAAGCCCACACCAAGTCCTCTACAAACTCTTTACGCAGGTCCTATCACGGTTGTCGGCTGTGAGCACTGGAGTGGCTGAATGAGGGTGTTGGGACTGTCCCCTTACCTCCACGAACACCTTGGTAGCACCGATAGCGAGCGCTTTCTTCTGAGCAGCTTCAAAGTCTTCCTCCTGGCCAATATTCGCCATATAGGCCATCACCTCGTAGCCCTGGAGAAACAATTGTCAGCTTCTTCAGAAACCATTTAGGGTAAAAAGGAAAACGTACCTGGTCAATCAACCACGCTAAAATGCATGAGGTGTCCAGGCCACCAGAATAAGCGAGAAGCACCTTTCCTTTAGTTCCGGTGGTCATTCTTTACTTCGTTGCCTTGCAAGCTGAGGATTGCTAGTGAAAATGTCGATGGACAACCCAAAAAATCTATTTTTTGTTTCATCTAGGATCCATCTGAATATCCGGCTTGATGGTTAAATATTGACTTCAATGCACTCGAATCATGTTATCAACAATCACTACGAACACTTGGGCACTGCACAACTGCGAGACTTACAATTTACTTGTGATGAAATAGTTGAGGTTGCATCAACAAACTATGATACTTTATGAATGTGTTTGGCAGATCCTTCGGCCTCATCTGGTAGTAGTCACCAAGAATTTTTGTTGATTTATTCTATCCGCCTTGTCTTGTTGGCTATCTTTCGCAAAATGTTTCAAAGTTTCCAGAGCAGATAGTATTTTGAATAGTTGCGAGAAACACTGTACGGCATTTCCACTTGCATGCTCCCATGAGGAGCATGTTCCCGTAGCTAGAAGAAACGCAAATGGTTGACAGATCGGACCATTTGCTAAGCGTGGCTAAGCATTGCATTGCACACCTATCTGTGCTTCTCGGGGGCTTCTGCATTTTTCGACCAGTGCCCGTTAGAAATGGAGGCAAGCGAAGGACACAGGCTGCACGAGAGCATATTGACACCCGGGGAACAACGGAAAAGGAAACTAGCCGGGGGCAGTTCCAATGTTGGCTCAAAGCAAGAAGGAGGCGAATCGCCCCGTTCAGTGGTAGAAATTTCTGGAGAAGGACCAAATAAACGGTTGAAAATCCCCTCAACTAATCATATGGGTAGGAAAGAGCGCCGCCTTTTATTCACAAAGGGACTTTGATGTATGACAGTAATTACAGAAGAACCAAGCTTCGACAGAGTGACGGACATGGAAAAGGAAGTGAAGCAGCTCAGGTGTGACCTGGCGGTTCTTGCCAACGTTGGTGTTACTGACTCACTTTTTCCGTAGAATTGATGTCCTTTCCGCTAAAAATGCGTGTCTCAAAGCAAAGCTGGACTGCGAGCAAGCCAGATGCAGACTTTACGAAAAGGATAAGATTATCGCGGAGCTCTCTGAAAATGTTCGCCAATTGAATATACGCCTTGATGCGCAAGCTCGTATTTATGAGGTATGTAAACTGGATCAGATGTATTGCGCATCTAAAAATCTTCTTCACACCTCTGCTTTTAAGGGGGAAATATGCAGTCTGAAAACCCAAATCAAACATGAAAGCGAAGAACGCGCCAATGAGCAACAGCAGATGGCACAACTGGTTCAGCTGTTAAACCAAATTGAGAAAGCTGTGAGTTTGAAATGTCCCTTTTTGGAATCTAATATCACCTGAACGTGGTGACATCCTTGCCAGTCGAAAAAGCACGACGTCAATTTCGAAAGGGGAGAAACCCAGTTTACGAAAGCAATCCAGAACTCCGTCATTGACATTCAATACGAGCCATCTACCAAAGACTTCGGTAATGAGGATGAGCGTCAGACGGATGAGGATCCGAACGCAAGCGCGATAATCCCTGTTGATGAAGAAAAGCTGAAACAAGTGGAAGAACAGAAGAAGATCGAAGCTATGCTAAAGATTGAAATCCCCCCAGAAGCGCTAGCTGAGGTCACTAAACAGCCTGGGCTGCGTGAGGTATGCATGATGCATCGGGGCCTCCATGCCTAACCATTTGAACTGAACTTTGACACTTTCGGGACACACCTGGTAGGACTTTCCAGTGGATACTTCCGATGCCAAACCAGTTCTTAAGCCTGTTCCAGATAAAAGAAAAAGAGAGTTTCTCATAGACAAGCGATGGAAGACAGGTCGGGATCAGAAACCCGATGAGCTCGAATATCCCCCAGCACCGGAACCTGCCAACATGCATAAATCTTCAGGACCGAACGCAGTAATGTCAGCCACAAAACATGGATTAAGATCGTCTATACCCCCACAGTCTATTAGTCGCAGCATAAACCGTTTATCTGCAGATCCCCTTACCACACTGCGTACGGGAGGATCCTATTCCCAGATGGGTTCGACAAATGGCTTAATGCCGACTGCGGCGGGATCTTCACTTTCAGTGCATCCCAATGAGTCAGTACAGCCCGTCTACAACGCGACGACTTATCATGACGGATACAATCATTACCCAAGAGTATGTGATTGAGAACTGCCACTACTCAATGGCATTTTGTATGATTTTTTTAACTGTAGCTATCTAGGAGCGAAGCCCATCCATGGACCAATTACCACATTCTCTCACGGGGCCGGTAAGCTTACCCTATTGTTCACTTCTGCTCGTCCATTTATATACTTATCTGCCAATTTATGACAGACTTGTAACTCGACTCTGAACACAGCGAACGATGCAGGACGTCGTGCTGTACAGCTATCAATGATGGAGGGATTGCGCGGGACCGGCGGGCGCGCTGAATCTGTTACGGTTGGTCTTTGCATTATCAAATTGCCAATCAATGATTTCTAAGCCCCTCTGCAGATGCGGGGCTCTCCGATAGAATGTGTTCCTTCCAGAGACCATGCAGAACAACGTACGAGCTTGCTTCGGGTGGGTTCTCCGTAGAGACAATCTCTGTTTAGAGTTCCTCAGTAAGGTCTCATTGGGTTTGATAGACTCATTCGCGAACGTCTCTACGCTCATCTTCACCTAAAATTGCTCAAGTAAGCGCCTGACAATTCATTGCATGTTGAAAGCCAACCTGACATATCAGCTTATGCAGACCCAAAGCCCCCCACTCGATGAGACAGGATGGGGTTTAAAGAGATCGATCTCCAATTTGACAACAGAGCTCCCGACACCTGCGATGAAGAAGTTCGACTCTCTGACGAGGAATTCAATCTCAGAGCACCCTAACAGCGCTGTTGCAGAATACACTATCGACACGCTGCGAAGCATAAAAGAAGTCACAATCTTTAAAGTACGCTGCTCTGCATATCTGATGTCCGTCACATGCCTCTCATTGAATAATGGGTGCAGGCCGCCGCGGCGCTTCATCGCTTGGACAACACTCGCAACATCCCATGGAAGGAGTGCGATCGAGGAACTGTGGCTGTTAAGGCGATATTAGGACAGCCAGAAACGGCGCGCTTAGGTAAAGTAGTTGGACAAGGGCGATTGCATCGGGACACCACCCTTTTACTGAAACCCCGCGCAGTGATGTACAATGACTGTAATGACAAGAAAGTTATCAACTTCTTCCTGTCGTTTACTGTGGCCCTAAAAGTTGAACAGAGCGATCTTATCGTGACCACATCCGAGAACGGGTCACCCACGTATTTCATTAATGTAAGTGCATTATGGAATCCCGTTGCGAATGACTCCCAATGTTCACCATTGTCCGACATCCTTTCACAGCTCGGTTCTGTGCAAGGCGCGAACGACCTTCATAGAGCGATTCGAACTGCAACAAGCGCCCTTTCTTTGAAAGACAAAGGCCTCTGGTATCTGGAGGTACCGTTGGCATCTTCAGCGGAACAATATATGTTATGAAGACTGTAAATATACAATAGGCTACTGTAGAATGTCTCGGATAAGCTCGAATTCGTAATCACGTCATGTGGCTAAGCTTGTACTAAGCAAGACTGCTGCGCAATGAAGCTGGCAAGACTTGGCTTTCCGGCATACTTCAGAACTTGGCATCCCGTCAGAAATGGCGTCGCCCACACTGCCCACATTTACGGAGAGCCCCTCTGTACCACTTCCCGACTCACATCCGAATGATGACAAATGGGCGACTGGCGCACTCCTCATTTATGTGTCACTGCTTTTTGTGATCCTCTTGACGAGCTACTACTTGCAGTCGAAGAAGATCCGCTTTATTCACGAAACCGTAGTTTCTATCGTTCTGGGCTTGATGGTCGGGCTCGTTGTGCGATTGACGCCATGTGAGTGCATACACTGCTTGGAAGGAGGAGCGAAATAACTTTTGATTGGTTGTACTTACTCCTTGTCCCCAGTCAGCAGCACGGTCACCTTCAACCACAAATACTTCTTCAATTTATTACTACCACCTATCATTTTGAATTCCGGATATGATATGAAACGAGTATGTTCAGTTTGATGCCAAGACCATCACTAGCGCATTCTCACTCTGTTCAAGAAAAACTTCTTTCGAAATATAGGCTCAATATTGACTTTCGCTCTAATAGGTACAATGATATCCACCATTATCATTGGGTAAAGGCACAGCCGTAGTAGTTAATGAAATCATCTTCAGGAACTCATATTTGTGTCCTTCTTTAGGGTACTGGTCTATTTTGTCGTATACTTGCTTGTGGTGACACATTGGCACCCCGAGCTGAAGATGACTATGCTTGATTGTATCGTCTTTGGGTCAATTCTCTCGTCAACCGATCCAGTAACGATTCTGGCGATATTCCACCAGTTGCGCGTGGATCCCAAATTATACGCTATAATCTTTGGCGAGAGCATATTAAATGATTCAGTCGCTATCGTCCTTTTCAAGTAGGTGTGGAAGTGTCTTCTGACATCCACTGCAGATTATCTCATTTTTTTGCCTTGCCAGAGTACTCGGCCAGTTTCGAGGGAAAGAGGTGACAATCGTCAATCTTTTTCACGGCGCTGCTTCGTTCCTGGCAGTTTTCACTGGCTCGGTCATGGTTGGCATAATCATTGCGCTGATAGGCGCCCTGATGCTAAAGCACTCGCGCTTGCACGAATTTCCGTCCTTGGAGTCATCCATCATTGCTCTCCTTGCGTATTCTTCTTACCTCCTTTCGAATAGTGTACAACTCTCCGGCATTGTCTCACTACTGTTTTGTGGAATTTGTCTCAAACACTACGCCTATAATAACATGAGTATCAGAACTCGTCGGACAACGAAGTATATGTTCCGAGTTTTATCTCAACTCAGCGAAAACTTTGTCTTCATCTATTTGGGAGTTACCGTATTCACCAATCTCAAAGATGAGGTTTATCGGCCAGGTCTAATATTCTTCACTTTGGTATGTGCATGCGAATTTTGTTACGTCTTTGAGAAGTGGAAGGTTCACTGTGACTTCATAGATTATCTGTATGGTAGCCAGATACATGTCGGTCATTCCTCTCGCCCGACTGATCAATTTCGTCAGCGCACGACTTCGCCCGGGAACTCCGAGGGAAGAAATCCCTCGAAATCATCAGTTAATGTTGTGGTGGGCGGGATTACGTGGTGCCATCGCATTTGCGCTCTCTTTTGAAGTTAGCGGTGACACTGAAGAGACCATGAGAACAGCGAGAGTGATTCAGACAACAACTTTGATTATATGCATCATCACCGTCATCTTACTAGGTGGCACCACGAACATGGCACTATCTAGGCTGCGGATTAGAACAGGTGTAGGAAAGAAAGGAGTCAATTCAAGCGGATTGGCTACAGGGGATGACTACATTGAGGATGACGATGAAGATCCAGACACAGATTCAAGCGACGGAGAGGGGGATGATTGGGATGACGATTTACCAGGATCCATACATCGGGACCACGGGGACAGCCATGCGTCCAACGAAAGTTTGGACAACGTCAGTGTAGGATCACTGGAAGATCTTGTGCAGAGCGACTCCCATCGAGGGGTGCGGATCGATGTTGAAGAGGATTCACGGGGCAGGGGTAATACTATTTGGGATGATGATATGACTCATTGGTTCATGAGCTTCGATAACAAATGGTTGAAGCCACTGTTTACGAGGACGCGATGGAAATGGGGGCGAACCGGTGGAAGGCGACGGCATGCGTCACCATCAAGAGAACGGCTACTTCATACTCCTGCCGGCTCAGGAGAGGGCGCAGCGCGGACCAACTCTGGCACCCAACGAACTTTCGGCCTATCCCCTTCAGCTTTCGAAAATCGCCGAAAGGAACTACGGAATGCCTCAAAAGCCAGTCATGCATCAGGGGGCTTCGGTCCCCAACGCCCTATCGCGAGTAGTCTTCGTTCCGGATCTGCTTTTCAAAGCTTCGGACGCAAGCCTGAATCGACGGGGAAAGGTGGAGAAGAGGAGGAGGTGTTCCATGACGTGAATGGTAATGTCTGGACGGGAAATCGTCCTGCGCCAAAGGGTGACACATCGCATACACGAAGTGCAGGCACGGTGGAAATGGATGGACTACCATCAGGTCAGCAGCAACAAGGAGGCGGTCTGAGATCTGTGCGGTCCTCCAGCCGTATCAATCTGTTCACCATGGAATAATTGGATGACAGGGGGTGGACTTCTGTCACGATTAGAGACGGCGCTTCCAGAGCCCAGTTCATACGATACATCACAAATCCAATTCCATATATATATAATTCCTTCCGTTCTCCTGGCGGTTATTGGTCATCGTGCTCATCGTCGTCTTCCTCATGCTCTTCATCCTCGTCCATAGTGTCAGACACTGCTTCGTCAGCTGCACCGTTGTCTTCGACATCTGACATACTGCCCCCAGTCTCTTCAGCTTCGTCGTCCTCTGACGGTGCTGGAGGGTAATCACTCTCCTCAGGATGCCCGTCCCCCGACAAATCTTGACCTCTGCATGATATGAATCCACAAAAGCGGACAGTGAAAGTACATTGGGAGTGATTAGCTTCTCGAGGTGCGTTATAGATTCCCAATTGTATCTTGGGTAGACAAAACCCGGCATACCTTTTTCGCATGTCTTGAATTATGGCTTCTCTCTCTCCTTTGAAAGCCTTAGTGGATTTCCCGACCAGCTGTGCGGCGAAAGTGTCAAGAAAATCGGCGGTCTTCAGGAGATGATCCGAGAGAGCTTTCGCCTGATTCTCCGATAAGCATCTTTCTCGCCCTTTTGAATGTGCAATGACACCAAACTTACAGGGGGTGGTGGCCGTTTTTGATTTTCGGGAGCTGTCATGGTGAGCAGTGAAGCGCTGGTGAGCTGCCATGGCCAGCGGAGAGTAGACCAAGTGTATTTGATGTTTGTCGTGTGGCACAGTAACCTTAGCTACGGGACGAGCACAGTAGGATAACCAGCTACCACCACTGGAAGTTGATAAGCATGGAGATATAGGAGAACTAGTCGATTGGCATCACATCTGAAGGATTGGAGGACTGTGGAGATGATTCTATCCGCAACGGACGTTAGCAGCAATAGTTGCTCAAAACCCTGGTATGGATCCAGATCCCCAGAGTCAACGTTGGTCTAGCCGCCAATCCATAGGTGATGCTCCCCAGGAAGTTGAGACCTATGCATTTTGTATAATGTCCGTGGAATAAGTAAAGGCCTCTCATGGTACTTGCATGATCTGCGTACTTGAACGAGCATGTATACCGACTGGTCTTATTGTAGGAACCAGTCCATCGTAAAGGTCACGTTCAATGTGGTTGGATCCACTCTCGTGTCCACGCAACATTTGTCTGTACACTTTAATTCGTAAGGTGCTTGTCACAATCTCCCCATTGAAACTCCTTCGCTTGAACATGTCGACAACAGATGACTCAAAGCGGTCTAAGCGACTGGAGACAGTCGGAAACAAGGACACGATGAACCTGCACAATATCTTATATCAAAACATCATCTCGTCACCATATTTTAAGAGCTTATACGAGAAGAAAACTTACCATGAAGTGATTGACGAGATCTATAATCAAGGTGGGACCTGAAAGTTCTTTAGTCCTTTGGCTCCATGGTTGGCTGACAATCACCGCATAATTTATTTGTGTACTCATCAAGTGTCTTCACTTGGTGAGTATCTAGAGGCACCCCGACGCCATCTAGCTGGGCTCGCCGTTGGGTACAGAGCTGCATTTCCCAAGCGTGACAAAGCGTCGTTATCGTGCCATACTGATAATGCTCTCACTCCGTGACACTGGGGTGTCTCGTTCATATAGAGCCATTTTTTAAAGGAACCCACGCCTCCACCGCTTTTTGCCTACTATATAAACTTTGGACGTTGAAGCTCACCGTAAAGCAGGTTCAGGGGCTGATCACTCACACAGATTCTGCGTGCGTATTAATTAGCTCCGTCTCATCAGCTGTTTGGGTGCAATTGCTCATCCCTTTTTTGTTCTTTCCAAAGGCATATCCGTGCGTTAGGATTTTTGTATCTGCGCTATGTATGCAAGCCTGCAGACTTGTGGGGCTGGTACGAGCCTTACTTGGATGATGATGAAGAGCTTCAAGTAGAGGCTGGTGCTAAGCCCAGGATGATGTATGTAAGCACTGTAGGCGATCTTGGTAAGCCTTCCTGATTGCGTTTTCTTATTCGGTAGGTCCATGGGCCGTTTTCTGCGAGAGCTGTTGACCGACAACAAGTGGATCGGCACTATGCTCCCTCGGATACCAGTTCCCATTGCACGAGATATTGAGAAGAAATTGAAGGAAAATCCTCCCGCGCACGGAATAACTACTGATGCTATGGCTGGGTAAGGTTTTAAAGCTTGGCAGCGCTATTGCCTATGGTATGACGATGTGCTGACTGCTTGATCAGCTCAAATGCAGACAGTGCACCAAAAAAGGCAAACCGTGAATATATATCTGATCGGCCCAGCCGCGACCGGTATGGGGCTAATGGTGGCGTCCGGTCTGAAGCTTATCAGGCACGTCGGCACCGAGGTTCGAGTAGGGAAAGCAGTGCACGGAGGACCTATGGGGATGGAGAATATCCCGGTATGTCCGCAGACCTTCCATATAACACCATTACGGTGACAACTTCTAACAGTCAGTTAGACCGACGTGAATATTCGCCGCGCCGGTATCATCGCGCCGGTGAAGGGCGGAGTCGCAGCCCGAGATCGAATTCAGAAAGAGATCGATACGGTGATGCCAGACACGACAGATATAGAGAGTCTCGATATGAGGAAAGCAGAAAGTATGTGGTAATTTGTACTGGGAGATGTCGAGGGGCCGTCGCTAAATATGGTCTCATTTTTCGTAAAGTTACGGACGAGAGCAGCACAGCTATGGCTATTCTAGAGGCGAGAGGCAGTGAAACACGCTGAAAGTAGTGTGACGAGCTCCGCTGCACTGTACAAACGAAACTATTGGTACCAGTTGTGCATATCCCCTTTGTCGTGTATCAGCTCGTTCTGAGACTGCCAGTCCTACATAGCAAAAAAATGCTACTAGCCGGGCACAACACCTCTCTCTCCTTGTGTACAGCCTATAATAGGAAACGAAACCGTCGTTCCAGCGTGGAGAGAGTTTGACACTAGCGTTCATGCATACATCAGACGGTAGATTATCACATGATATGTTTGAGTAAAGAGTATTCGCTGTGGGTCTAATGGAGTCCGAAATTTTCAAAAGTTGAAAAAAAATCAATAGTGTAGCAAGCCCAAAGTGCAATGGGTGGGGAGAAATCACGTGACTGTGTCCGGTTTCACCGGACGCGCACACCCAAGATCGGACGATCCATGTGCCTGCTTTCTAAGAGCAAATTCATTTGACTTTGGCAGACATGGACAAGTACGACAAGATTGAAAAGGTGGGAGAGGGTACATACGGGGTTGTCTACAAAGCTCGCGACCGGCACAGTGGGGAAATCGTCGCTCTGAAGAAGATCAGGTTGGAGACCGAAGATGAAGGGGTACCGTCCACCGCGATTCGGGAGATTTCACTGTTGAAAGAGCTCAAACATCCTAATATCGTAAGGTTAGTTACAAAGCCCTCACTTTAGGTCTATTGAATGGAAGACGAAAATTCTGTAGTCGTATTGTGGCTGGTGGCTGCTTGGTATCGCCGCTGCGCTCGTAACGACGCCCTTGACAATGGTTCGTAACCTCTCCGCTTCAAAACACTGCAGATTGCTAGACATAGTGCATAATGATGCCAAGTTATACCTCATTTTCGAGTTCCTCGATCTGGACCTAAAGAAGTACATGGACACACAATCTAACGGTCTCTCCGCACCCCTTATTAAAGTATGTACACTTTAAATAAGCGCCACACAGACTTCGATGCAGCCAAATCTTACAAGAAATATCTCCTTGTCAGAGTTACATGTACCAGCTCATCAAGGGTATCCACTATTGTCACTGCCACCGCATCCTCCATCGCGATTTGAAGCCTCAGAATTGTACGTATCGTTTTCTGTCGACGATCGCCTATTTTGCTGCAACGCGTGTCTTCATGAGTACGCATTTGTAGTGCTTATTGATCAACAGGGAATGTTGAAGCTCGCTGATTTTGGCCTTGCGCGGGCGTTCGGGGTTCCTCTACGTACCTACACCCATGAGGTGGGCTGCCGCATTTCGCACTTTGCTCTACGGCCCCCGTTTACAATGTTTGCGTTGTGATGAAGGTGGTCACACTCTGGTATCGTGCACCGGAAATCTTACTAGGCTCTAAACACTACTCAACGGCAGTGGACATGTGGAGCGTGGGGTGCATTTTCGCTGAGATGTGTTTACGTCACCCTCTTTTTCCTGGTATGTGGTTTTCGTACCTTTGCTTTACGAAACTCCTTAACCAATGACACTCCAGGCGATTCTGAAATCGATGAGATTTTCCGCATATTCCGGTTGGTTGGCCGCCAGAAAGTGATAAGAACAGTGTGAACGAATTTCTGATCAAACAAACTTGTGTGTAGAACACTAGGGACACCCAACGAGGAGATCTGGCCGAACGTCACCACCCTGCCAGATTATAAGGAAAACTTTCCCATCTGGACTGCACAAAACCTTGCAAAGGTGTTACCAAACCTTGAGTCCGAAGGTGTCGACCTCCTTTCGGTATGGACTCGCACGTCAAAATTCATATGCCAATTACTGATCCGTTCGATTCACTATAGCGACTGCTAGTATATGATCCCGCACAACGCCTCTCTGCCAAGCGTGCACTATCGCACCCATATTTTGCGGACGTCGACACATCTAAATCTTTGTGAATTTAGATCATGTGGCCAACGATGAGCTCTGGGCTTGCTTTTGCTACGGTAATTGACGGAGATAATGGCGCATGTACGCCAACAGTAGATCGCACGCATTTCGCAGCATCACGCCCATTCTAGCTTATGTACAGATATGTCGTTAATCTTCGCTTCCCTTCATGTAATGTTAAAGGATGCAAATATATATTTGCTAGCAACTGTACGTCGGCAGCTGATAACATATCATCATAATGTCGAATAATACTCGCCTGCACCGACGCACAGCGGACGCCGGTTTTTGGCTGGCTTGAGACTGTGGTAGTTCATGCTAAGGTCACAGGAGCTACTTAACTATCTTGGTAAGCAATTGCGGAGAGGCGAGTGAGATGTTGCTTACTAATCACTCGTGACTGTCCCGTTCTCGCTGGAGCTTCTCCACAGTTGATGGCTACCTTGAACAGTCGCACCAATGGAGAGGAGTTCAAGCATTGGACGCCGAACCTCAATGCGTCATGCGGCAGTGAAAGCCAGAGCTCGACTTACTGCTGTCCGGCTGGATGTCGACGGGATCATTGAACAAGGGAGTGCAAGCCAGCCGCAACCGGAACTGCTCTCGGAATGTGGGGACGGTGGCAGTGACTTTGAATCGGGGTCAAATGTGCGATCTCAGGCGAAGGCGATAGCGCAGGGATTGTATACTTCTCATGAAGAAGCTTTGCATTCAAGAAATTACGACAATGAAGATGTCACCGGACCGTGTACGACAGAGAGTGATGCACCTTCGCGAAGGGGGATAAAGCGCCAAGTTGACATGCAGACTACTAGACTACCAAAACGTCGACGCAGAGAGGTCAAAGATACGCAATCTCCAGCTCCTGCATTTCTTCCTGAGAGGGTATATAGTCCAGACGACGAAGCCCCCGAAGAAGATGATGCGCTCTATTCTGCTACGATTGATCTCGGGCAGTTTGAGGAAGCAATCAGCGACTTATTTGAATCTGAGGATCTATCCTTTGCACCTCTGAAGGCTGATCATGAATCACGCCCGCTTTGGGTCTGTCAGGATGGTCGAATCATTCTGGAGGCTTTCTCACCGATTGCGGAGCAGGCGCAAGATTTTCTCGTGGCCATTTCGGAACCTGTTACTAGACCTTCTCATGTCCATGAATATCGACTATCAGAGTATTCGCTGTACGCGGCGGTATCTGTGGGACTGGACACTGATGGCATTATCCAAGTCTTGGATCGTCTCAGTAAGACTCAGCTCCCTCCAACGGTGGAGAAGTTTATAAGGGAAAATACTCAGTCGTATGGTAAAGTGAAGCTGGTTTTGAAGCAAAATCGTTACTGGATCGAAAGCGCAGATGAGATGATTTTGCAGACCTTGTTGAAAGACGAGAAGATTCGTGAATGTAGACTGGCTTTGCAGGGTGCCGACAGTGGAATCTTCGGTTTCTTAACCGAGCAGGCCCCAGACTCCAAGGGCTTTACGATAGCAGGATCTAAAGGTAATGAGCAAGTCAAGCCCAATCGCGACGATGCACGGCAATCGTCCCGCACCAGTGATCCGGCACTAAGTACGGGCCAAGGGTTCTTCATTCATGAGAAACCGCTGTCCCCCAAATCTACTGTGGAGATATCCCATGTCGTAGACGAAGTCTTGGAGGGTATCGATCTATTTGAGCTGTTTTCATGCGATCCTGATGACGATCTCAATCCTGACGAGATGACCAAATATATTGCAAAGCCGAACGGCGATGACGCCACCGGCCAGAGCTCCAATGGATCGAAGGGTGGGATGTCAGCGATCAGCCCATCCATGACTGAGGGTATCGAGCTAGGGTG